ATAATTTATGTTTATTTCCTAATTTTTTATGGTGGTTGTGAGATCGGTCAATTCTACCGAACCTGTACAGAGATTAATTACTGAAAATAACAGATAAAATATAAAGCTTTTTCTTAAGAAATGTTTGATAACTATCCGGACATTATAAAGATTTTGCATGTGAAATTTCAAAAATTTTCTGATGCATAAAAGTATCTTTAATCTTAAAATAAAAATTACTTTGCATGATAGATAGGCAAGATATGAAAAAAATATTTCCTTTTAAATTAAGAAATTAAATATTGTATAATAATAAAATTTGAATTGTAATCTACAATTTGGTACCAAACTTATTGACATAAATTCATAAAAGAGTAGTTTAATAAAATTTTGAATGCAAGTCAACAAACACAATGACATTGCCTTTGACCCTTGACCCATAGCGATAGGGTTAAGTGGCGAGTTGTGAATTGTGATAGGTTTGAAAGGCATTTTAACAACACTATCAGTAAACATGTGTAGTCTTAATGATCACATTCCCACAGAAATCAGAACACGGTGCCCATAGACATTATACAACTTATATTGTACTCTGAATGTGCAAATATGAGCTAGATGCCGAGACTGCTTTAGGGTTGCACCATAGTAGTGCATTTGACTTGTCCAGCTATTTTTGTTGCATCAGACAACTGGAAACTATTTATTTCAAACAGAACTTGTAAAGATAAACACTGGTAGAGAAATGAATGGTATAGTAAGTGTCTTGAATTGCTTAAGCTTTTGTTTATGAAAAAAAGGTTCCTCTATGGGTTTTTTTTCTCATAATCACTACATTGGTCTGTAAGTGACCTGACATCTCCTTTGCGGATCATTTGTGCTAGAATCATGGCATCTTTAAAAATCCTGAAAATTACAATTAATTATTACATCAACATATATTAGTGGCATCAGTACAACCATCTTTTATAAAGGTTTTTTTAAAACACTTTTTAATGACTTGTGCTCATTTTTTACTACATTGATTTTGTGTCCTGAAACATGCTGTTTTCAAAGCTACAATTATTTCTTTCTTCTTACATATGTTTAGTGGAGGTACATCTTTGAGCTAGACTGCAAATGGGATTCTTGCGGCTCCTTGAAAAAGTCTTATATAGATTTTGTATTTTTAAGACATTGAAAATTCTTAAATTTGTTAGTGTAGGACTTAGCATGTCTTAAATCAATGATGGGTTAAAAATTCAGAATTGACACAGAACCATTGCAACAGACAGTTTTAATCACAATCACTTTGCCATCATGTTGGGAGACAAAGTACAGCTGCTCCTGGTCACTTATGTTCATTGCCTGAGGTTTCTCCAATTATGGCCCTACCTCTCTGGAGTGAATGTAAATTGAACTTGAGCACCACACCTTGGGAATGTGTAGCAACTCAGGTGAGAACCAGAGCATAATTGAAACACTTGTTTTAGGGTGGGTGAGAACAGAGAAAGCATTATGGCAGAATCCACTATTTACATGTGTAATACATGTATATATTTGCATATTTTTCTCTTCATTTGATGAAAGTGTAGTTTTACATCACTCAAGTACATGTATATACTCTTATTTCTTATAAAAAACATGCTTGTTTCTTCATTGAACTTTGTTATGTAATATACCATAAAACGATTTAATGTGTTTGTTTTGTTCCTTAGTATAGTTTATTATAATTTTTGCCTGATTGTTACTGAACTTGATTTCTCAGTGAACTTTCCTAAATCCTTTTTTATTATTTTTAATATTATCATTTAGTGGACTTTGTATTGGAACCTACCTCATCCCTGCTAGAATCTTATGAAAAGTGGAGAGGTTGGGCTGATGAGAAAGTTTGTTGCGATTATGCTCTTCATGTTGCTGTGACCTCGTGGAATGATAACATGAGACAAGATATGGAAATACTTACTAAGGAGCATGGTTTGTAGTTGTTCAAAAAATAAGGAGATTGAAAAGGTTTAATTTTGTAATCTTTTACAAGATGAAGTAATAAAACAGTGATATAATTGTAAATTATTATAATTTTCTGTTTTAAAAATGTTTAAATTATTAAAAAATCATGCTGATAACATGTCTCAGTGACTTATTGTTTTGTTTTTGTGTATTTAACCCTTTTGCGACAGGTGGGTCTAACTGCACATGTCATGATCTTATAGTGAGTTATATTCAAAACTTAATTAAACTACATTTTGTTTATGTCATACCAATTAGTTTAGCATAAAATCATAGCTAATAATCCATATTTTAATAATATCTAAGTTTTAAGGTCATAATTTTATAATGCAGTATTCAAAAAACCCTGAATTTCTCCTAGTGTAAGAAATGTGAATTTTTTTTTCTCTAGGCATCCCCTCTTCTTTAATTTATTCACCACCTTCTATAAGTACGAACTTTAATGTAAATTACTCACTATCAAATTGTCATTGCTCAGACAAAGTATATTTTTTATAGCCTTCAATTTTGTTTGATTACAGAGCCATCAAATAGTAAATCAGACCCTTCTTGCCATACTCAGCTTTCACATCCTCTCTTTCAGGATTTGTTAATAGTTCTCTCTTACATTTAATTCTGTATTATTTATAACCAATAGAAAGCCAAGCTTTTCATCTATTGAATGACATATTATATTACATTATTTTTTGAACAAAGAATTGCCAATTTCTCAGTTAGTACAAGCTTCGTTCCCATGGAAAAGATAATGACAAGCTTGAATGAATTTGTAACAGTTTTTGTTGCATGGTTAGAAAACCAGAAAAATTTTGATAGTTTGGGGATATTGTCTGCTTTTTGATGTTGTTATTATATATTATTTGGTGCATTATTTAATTAAATAAAAATTATTTAGTGCATTACTACCATTAATATAAAAAAATGAGGGTTAAGTGTCCACAACAGTTGACAGCAAAAGAAAAGAAGACCCGGGTGGGTACCTTATTTCTTGTTTTTCATGTTTATTCTTTATTTATTATTATATAAGTAACTAAAATGTAAAATTAAGGATCTCTTTAACTTAGTTAAGGTTAGATTAGATAAAATAAATAATGATCATAATATAATAAAAATGTTTTATGAGGCATGCAGCTTAGAGTAGCTTGTGGGTAAGATAATTTGATAGCACAGTGTGTGTTCCATGTTCTCCAAATGATTTACAATATATAATGGCATGAATAGTAATAGTTGTTCAAAGGGCAATCACAGAGCAATAAAACAGTAAAATATAAGTATAAATAGATGTGTACTGTTACGAATTTAAAACTACTTAGGATAAATGAATGTAGTTTCATGTTACAATTTGAAGTCATTCTAGAAAAAAAAATAGGGTAATTT